AGTGATGGTTGACTTTCTACAATTTTCTCCCATCTCCCGACTGCATCTCTGGAGCTCAGCCACAGTGATCTTTGGGTTCTTCTTTACCTCTCTCACCAAGGCTCTTGTCCCCTGATAGCTCAGTTTGGCCGGACGGCCAGCTCTAGGAAGGGTTCTGGTCGTCCCAAACGTCTTCCATTTAAGGAATGGAGGCCACTGTGCTCTTGGGAACCTTAAGTGCAGCAGAATTTTTTTTTAACCTTGGCCAGATCTGTGCCTTGCCACAATTCTGTCTCTGAGCTCTTCAGGCAGTTCCTTTGACCTCATGATTCTCGTTTGCTCTGACATGCACTGTGAGCTGTAAGGTCTTATATAGACAGGTGTGTGGCTTTCCTAATCAAGTCCAATCAGTATAATCAAACACAGCTGGACTCAAATGAAGGTGTAGAACCATCTCAAGGATGATCAGAAGAAATGGACAGCACCTGAGTTAAATATATGAGTGTCACAGCAAAGGGTCTGAATACTTAGGACCATGTGATATTTCAGTTTTTCTTTTTTAATAAATCTGCAAAAATGTCAACAATTCTGTGTTTTTCTATCAATATGGGGTGCTGTGTGTACATTAATGAGGAAAAAAAATGAACTTAAATGATTTTAGCAAATGGCTGCAATATAACAAAGACCGAAAAATTTAAGGGGGTCTGAATACTTTCCGTACCCACTGTATGTCATCGCAAGCTACATTTTCTTTTATTTTTATATATTTGTATATTGGATGGAATTAAACTTTTTTTTGTTTTTACATTTATTCTCAGGACATACATGTATGTGAAGCCATCAATTAAAGCAGACAGGAATAAGGTAGGCATAACTGATCACACACAAATACTGATTTTATTTCAATGAAGAAATGGCAAACCTTAACTATTCTTGAGAAACATTTTCAGATTGTTCTGTTTGCTCTTTTGAGGTGATGATCATTTATGAAATATGTCTATGAGAGATGCAGAGTCACGGAGAAGATCCTTCCACTGGCACATCTGTGATGAGGTGCATTCAAATTATATTTGCCCCTTCTCCACCAACTCTTCCATAACTGCATTAAGCTTTAAATAAAAGTGTTCATACGAAAATACACATTTATTTAATATTGTATTTAGTGTAGGGCTGCACAATTAATCAAATTTCTAATCGCGATTACAATTATGGATGCCACAATTACGTGTAAC